AATTTCTAATGGTAGGACACTCCAATTTGAGATACACTTTTCCTTATTTGCTTTTTAAAAGTTACCTTTTCCAGTTATGAAAGTTACATTTTAACTATGGAAAATTCGAAGAGCATGGGAAAAATGTCACACAATCATCCTTACTTCTTCTCAGGACAAGCACTAATATTGATCTATTTTTATCTAGCCCTAAAGCTTTTCTTTCTTACTTCAGCAGGTGCTTTCTCAGAAATAGGTTGCTCAGGTCCTCTTAGAAAGGCAGGCAGATTTGGCAATGTCAGATCCTGGGCCAGTGTTTGGCAGACTAGCATTGTGTTAGGAAACAGTTTCTAACAACTGTGCTGTCTGGGCAGGATTGTTGGGGGGTGTCTAGGAAGAGAACTGAAAATGATCTGTGACATGAAAGCAAATTCAAATATGATGGGAGCTGACTGATCTATCGATTCACAGCTCGTTTTTGCTCCTGGTGCTTCTTTGATTGAGATAAGTGTCATCTTGTCCTCATTCCAGCTTGTGCTTCACCACAATGTAGTTTTTATTTCCCAGTCAGCTTTTGTGAAAATAATCAACCCATCCTAATTGAACCAGGCACACAGTAGGTCCTATATAAATGTGTATTGAGCTCAACTGAAGAAAATTAAACTTAGAATCTGGATGGCAGTCTTGTATTTAAGAATATCCAATTGTTTTGTAGAAAGACCTATAATTGGGGCCAGGTGCGGTGGCTCACGCCTGTAATCCCAGCACTTTGGGAGGCCGAGGTGGGTGGATCACAAGATCAGGAGTTTGAGACCAGCCTGTCCAATATGGTGAAATCCTGTCTCTAATAAAAATACAAAAAAGTAGCCCAGTGTGGTGGCATGCAACTGTAATCCCAGCTATTCAGGAGGCTGAGGCAGGAGAATTGCTTGAATCCAGGAGGTGGAGGTTGCAGTGAGCCGAGATCGCACCACTGCACTCCAGCCTGGGTGACAGAGCGAGACTCTGTCTCAAAAAAAAAAAAAAGAAAAAAAGGAAGACCTATAATTGAACTTAGTGAAAGGATAGATCTTTTAAACACATGTGGACATAATTTGATATGCGCTGAGTGAGGTGCTGACGATGACAATGGAAAAGGAGAAAATGGAGGAAAATGTGAAGGCCAGAAAGAATTATTCATTCAGCAAAGTGTTATGCTTATCTCAGTACATACGCGTCTGCACCTGTATACCTGTAAATAAAATATTTTACAAAAATGTCTTGGGCTTGGTGCTGATAAGCTTATTTTTAGAGAAAAAGTAAGAACTGAAAATGCCAAAATATAGAGAACGTCAAATGCCAGGAAATATGCTCAAGGAACAGAAAACCGTAATGAGAAAAATGTTACATTTATACATCAGCAGGAATCTTATTTTTGCTTTCATGAATTTTAAACTTGCATTGATTTGACTCAACTAATTTCATTAACATCTAATTTCTCCTTAGGACTATTAATGACATGCAAATGACTTATCTGAAATGAAGGCCAGCCACCCACATATTTGGATAATTGTTTTTTTCATTCCTTGGGAAATTCCTTTAATGTTTGGAAAGTATTAGCTGTGGGTACTGTCTACTTAGCAGAGAAAATCAAATCAGTGAAAATTCTTCTGGTTCAGCAGGTGCTCTTTATCATCTCTGAGGTCCCCAGACTCAGAGGGTCTACATTTCTGAATGGGTGACCCAGGGACCACCTATGTCAGAATCACCTGGGTACTGACTTCATGCACATTCCGCTTGACAGCATGGAGATTGCTGGGGCCAACCACAAATCAACTAGAGGAGAATATTTAGGTATGAGGTACCAGAAATCTGGGTGATGTTTATGCACACCAAAATTTGAAAGCTGGTGTATAATAAATGCTAGGAGATATTTGTTGAAAGTTCCTAAATTATGTAAATCCAAAAGAGAGAAGGAATGGAGTACACTGGTTCTTTCACCAAAGGGAGTCACTTACCCTTTAGTCTTAAAATTAGTTTGAACACACTAAGAGACAGATTTAAAAAACCCACAAGCAGAGGGTGAACTGATATTCAACAGAGGAGAAAACTAGGAGGTTTACTTCTCCAATGAATGATTCTGCTTTTTGATCATTGCAATAATAATGATCAATGCCATTTTTTGATTACTACTTTGTGTTCAGCCCTTTCCACGTACAATTGTAGGGGATCTTACTTGATCTTCTCAATAACTCAGTGAGGCTGATGCATCTAAATAAAGATGATGAGGCCAGTGAGGTTCAGAGAGATTAAATAATTTGGACCAGCTCTCCCTGCTAGTAAATTGTAGGGATGGAATCTCTTTGATTCTAGAACCTGGGATCTTAGCCCCCAAAGCACAGTGCATTCACGACTTTTATAAACCACAGCTTTGGGTGCACCTCCTAGGGAAAGAGCTTTAATTGAACTGTTTTGTTCCCCTCTTCTCTGCCTTTCTTGAATAATCTACCATGAGCAGTCGGTGTCACACACAACATTTTGGGACCTAGTAGCCCTGTCAAAACCACAAGCAGAGAGAACTCAACACTGGCTGTTGTCATCTCCCATTGCTTTCCGGATTTGGGGCTTCACTATTCTTTCTAATCATGATATAGGACAAGATGCTAATGCTGAGTGTGAGTAGCGAGACAGTGCTAAGTCAAAAAAAAATTGTAAGAGTACTGATAATGTTCTGTGTCACGGTCTAGGTGCTGCTTACATGGATAGATTCAGTTTGTGAAAATTCAGTAAGGTGTATACTTTTGAAATATGCGCTATTCTGATTGTATATTACACATAGATAAAAATTTTTAAAATAAACAAAATTCATAGTCTTATTTTGAATTATGTAATTTAGCTGCTGAACTCACCACCTCTGGCCATGTTCCACTAGTCCAAACTGCCCCTTTTATTACCAAATCAACAAACAGTTTTCTGGTGAGAAAATGGTAAGGTAATTGTTCCAACAACTGCAAATAAAACTACTTGTTAGACCAAAGATTCAGAGTGGAAGTTAACCCTGGTGAAGGAAATGGGCTGCCTCCTTGTTAAATTCTTTTCATCTCTTGGTTTCAGTAATCTTAAAAGTTTTGCACATTTTTCTATTATGTTAACACATTGTGTGCTGAGTTTGCAGACCTGAGGCATCTAGAGTGTGCTTTAAAATTTTTTGCTTAAGTAACCCACAAGACTCCTACATTCTTTAGTTTCGCCTGTATTGAGAATCAGCAGTTACTTTTAAGTTTTAATAAGTTTCACATGTTTTGTAGTGAAACTGTGTTTGGTTAATTCCAATCTTTAATTAGTAGCCTCTGGATTGGTGTATACCAGACACAGGGATGTTATTAGTGTGAACTGAAAGCTATGTGTGTTCCTCCATAACAGATCAAAACAAACCTTGTGTGCTCTGACAGCATTAAACCCCACTGAGACCTGACCAGGATACGGTTTTTAGTTGTAAAAGAAAATTGTAATTCACAAGTCCTTGCCAGATGTTGTACCCCAATATCTCAGCTTCATTACATCTACCCCAGAGTAGGTGGTGATATGAAGGTTACCCACAAGGGACCTGGTTTGGTTTTTAAAAAATTATTTAAAAATTAGAGTCACTGAAAATATTTAAAGTGGGAAAATTGGTGCATCTTGTTTTTTAAAACTTTTTAATTAAAAAACTTTTGGGATGTTAAATTTCAGGTAATGTAAATAGTACTTTGCAGTTTAGAAGATAGCTTTGAAATCCTCATATATATGGTACATTTTTTTGACAATGTTAAATCAAGAAGAAAATTTGCATCTACAAAATAGAAAAAGATATTTAGATAAAATAACTGGAAATGAGCAAACTTGAATGAAAACACAGATTGGGGATTTGGTGTCTGTTTAAGAAGCAAATGAAGGAATTCTAAGATTTTTCTTATCTCAAACTTGTGCTATACTGTGGATGCTACCAAATGCAAAATTACAAAAACTTTGATTAGCTTGACCAAGACAAAAAGAGCTAATGCATTTTAAAAAACTAGTTTGATTGGCAGTGGCCTCCGAAGTGTGGAAAAGTATCAGATCAAGTTCAAATGCTAATGTAAATGGTATATTTACAAGGGGTTCATGTGGTTATGTCAGGATGGTGAGATTCCACCTATCTTGGAGTTTAACACATGACTGTGAACAGCTAGACTCCTAGGCAATTTAGATGCTCCTTCCCTGATCATTGTGTTATATGACTTTGGCAAAGTATACATTTTGTACCTTACATTTCTCCTCTCTGAAACTATTAGATTTCTGAATGTTTTCTTTGGTTAGACAATTGGTCTTCTTCTAGCACTTATTTCAATATAACTTTAATATAATTTCACAGTAATATGTAACACAGATGGTAAAATATAGTAGTAGCTTTCACCTTATAGGCAAATCATATTTTATCTGGTTGCAACTATAAAACATTATTCCTGAAGGAATGCCATGGTAAGAGTTTCCCCACACTTCCCCCCCAACCCACCCCCAGGGGGGATTTTACTGTAGTAAAGATCAATGTTAAATCTTGGTGATTTAAAATTTAAATTATATATATTCCCTATAAAGAAGTAACTACAGAAAGCAACTCCATGGATAATCTGGTTATGATCATAACTTGACACTAAATTCCCTGCTGACTAATTTGAAAGATACCACTATGTTTCTTTGTTTTTAGAAGCCCCCAATTGCCTGTCATTGACAAAAGAGCAACATTTTAAAATGTGGTGGAAGGATGTTCTTTTTTAAAGACACTCCCCTCCCCCTTTTCACGCATTTTGAACTTGTGAGGAAGCAAATAATCACATGCTGAATTTAAGAAAGAGTGTTTTCTTGTATCAACACCAGCAGCAAACGATTTTATTTTATTTTTTTAAAACAGGATTTTAGGATCCCCAGTGCTAATTCCTGTGTGTGAACTAAGCAATAAAACCACACAGGCGAACTTGAACTAGGCTCTGAGGTTGGAGAATAAATTTAAACCTTCTTTGGAATTTTTCCTTTTGACTTCTTTTATTCTCCAGATACAAACCACAGAAGTGGAATTCGTTGCTCTTCATGCTGTGTATAAATTGTTGTTGGCACCAAATTTTTGAATGATATCCTCTAAACATCCTTCAGAGGGATAGAGTTTTTTACTCTTTCCTCTCCATTTTAAATTAAAAAATTTCAACTTCAAAAATTAACAAGATTGAAAGGTCTCTTCACGGTTCATTATCTTTTCAGAGTTTTCAGTAACAATTCATTTTGGAAAATTTACCCGTTTTCAGATTAAAACAGGTAGATAATGAGTTCCTCGTTTTATCTTGCTTTGTTTTCCTACAGTGAAAAAGATTTAAAATCATTATCTATAATTCTAAACAATCTCCAGCCCTTGAAAGGCTATTAAAAATAGAAACTAAGAAAAATATACTTTTTATAATCAGTAATACCTTAATATTTTATGAGGGCTATAAATATGTGATTCTTTTGGTATTTATTGTTAGGCTAATGAATTGTGTTAATTGCTGCTAAATTTTTGTAAAATTAAAATTGAGAAGCATTTTAATTCAAATTGTTATTTTATTAACACAAAGAGAAGTGCTAGTACCTCCTTACTTGTGGAGTGCATGTGCACATGTTTTGAAAGACAAACCTCCCATCACTTCTCTTTCTATCTCTTTGTAGTACAGAGTGGTACAGTTGCAACAGCAGAGGAGTTGTTCCTGACTTCTGGTCTTCATCCTGCCTCATACTAGCTATATGACTTTTGGTAAGTCCCTTAATTTCCTTAAGTCTCAATTTACTCAGCTCTAGAATAGAAGAGTTAATAAATACCTGCCTCAAGAGTTGTGGTTAGTGGCTACACATGTTGTATACTGTAAAGTGATGTGTTACCATGTTACCAACCAGGAATAAGTATCTCAATAAATAGCTCTTCTATTAGCAACTATATTACATAAGGCAATGGGGAGATAGCGGTTAAGTGATAAGCCTTTGGAACTAAAGATTCCAGAGTTCAAAACCTGGTTCTGTGTATTAGCTCTAACAAACTTTGACAAGTTTCTTTATCTCTCTGACTCTCATATTCCTCACCTGTAAAAAGGGGTTAATAAAAATACCTCAAAGGGTTACCAAGAGGGTTAAGTGAGATAATATATACATTGGGCACTTAGTATGTGCCTGATATTTAGTAATTGCTCAATATATGGTAACAGATTTTTGTCTTTGTCAACAGTAAACAGTCTTAAGTTCCCCTTGAGTAATTATAATCATTACTTGTTTTAAAAATGATGTATCAAGAATTTATATCTGTGTTTATGCAGATGAAGCAACTCAGTAAATATTTGCTGAGTGAATACATGACTTTCTTTAATGTGGATTTTTTTAAAAATGTACTTTGTCACCCAGCAAATGCTCCACATTTTAAAAAATATTTTCATAGCAGCACTTTGGGAGGCTGAGACAGGAGGCTTGCTTGAGGCCAGGAGTTTGACACAAGCCTGGGTAACACAGGGAGGCCTTGTCTCTACAAAAAATGTTTTGAAAGTTAACCGGGCATGGTCGTGCATGCCTGTAGTTCCACATACTCAGGAGGCTGAGATGGGAGGATTGCTTGAGCCCAGGAGGTCGAGGATGCAGTGAGCTGTAATCGTGCCACTGCACTCCAGCCTGGGTGACAGAGAGAGAGAGACCCTGTCTCAAAAAAAAAAAAAAAAAAAAAGCATAGGATAGTTATCAATCAAGGCATATCTACATAAGCTGCCAATGATTATTTCACCACAAAACTTCAAACAAAGACATGCTTATAACTGTTCTTTGTTCAAGGACTTTAGCCTAAGATAGTTCTTTAGCCACAACATAATTATCTTTATACAATACTTTCCCTTGCAAATAATTTCAAAACAGCAGACTGCTTGCTGTAGGGACTTCTCTTACTGCTCAAGAAATTCATCAGAACCGTAGCCATTCAACAGTTGTGGAGACTATTTAAAAATGTTTTTCACCAAAAAACACTGTAAAGGAACATTTTGAGAGTAATGTTAATTTTCCATAAACTACAACAAACATGTCAATTTTCTGTGAGATATATCACACTAAAAAATAAAAGTCCACAGATTATTATTCCTGAACCTTGTTGCACCCTCTGTTTTACCTTTCATCACCACAAGAACTAACAGCAGCTGAAAGAGTAGAATTGCACAACCACTTGTGTACATAAACGCTAACAAGCAATGAAATAGCCAAAGGGTAAACCCCAGAAAGAAGAGGTATCAGAGACGTGGCTAGCACACATATTAAGCAGCTATACCCTGGAATGTTGACGATAATTTATTGTTTAAGGAGGCGCTTTCATGAGTCTGACAAAGATGACACCAATACTGTATTGCTGTTTATCTGGTCTTACTCACTGATGGAGCTCAAGGTCTTTTTTCACGTGCTTGAGAAGTTGGAAGCAGACACTACCATTTTTTTTTTTTTTTTTTTGGCAGAGGAAGAAGGTAAGAAAGGCAAGAAGTTAGAGGTATCTCAGTGTTTGCAGGTTAGAGCAGAAGATGCTGGCAGCAGATGTCATTAGCTGAAGCAGTGTGGTGTTGGATTCAGCTTGCTGTGCGAAGCCCCCTGTAGACGCTGCTGCACTTTTAGACATTCTCAGGAGGTTTTCTCTTGATGGGTAGATCCCCAGGAGACTCCCAAATCATGCCATTTTGTTTCTCCTTTTGCCTGGAAAAGTTCTCATCCTCTTCTCACCTTGGGGACCTTCTGTTTTTTTCAGAGCTGCTCAAACATCACTTCCTCCACAAAGCCTTCCTTTGCTCGGCATACCTCCATGCACCTCCATATGCTGGCATGGCTGGTTTCCAGGTGCTGGTCATATATTGTAGGTGTGTCAACCAGCATTCGCCTCATTGTATTGCAATCAGAGGTTTCCATGTCATTCTTCCACTACACTACTGGGCAGGGCTCATACTGGATTCCTGTTTATATGTTCACCATACAGCATATAACTTGGCAGACAGGAAGCCCAAATTTAACATCAAATAATTGAATATAAATGGAAATTAAGAAGTCTTTATTTGCATCTTGATGATGTAATTGTTTTACAAGAAAGCTTAAGTACATGGCCTTTTAGGAAATTCTAAACCTGAATATTGATGGAGAGATTAAAAAATTAATTTTAAAGTGAGCAGTACTAATTATAGTGGCATTATTATTAGGTTCTTCTTGAAGAAAAGTTCTGAATTCCAAAAGTTAAAGAAATATGGGATTAAGCAAAATTAAAAGTAACATATTTAAACTCTAGGTTTTACCAAAGCCTAGTATATATGTGTATTTTGTTTTCTTACCTAAATCCTAAATTCTTTGAGGGGAAGGAGATTTTTACTTCTGTTTTCCAACAAGTAGGCACAGTGCTTGATACACAGTTAATGTTCAGTAAATGTCTACTTGACATCACACACACACACACACTTCATCGCACATCTTGAGAATCATCAGGAAGCCTAGCATTATTTTTGGCTGGGGCACGCATGAAAAGACATCAGTTTTTCATTGAATACCACCAATATATAGTTAATTCATGAGGAAGAGAAGTGTCATGGTCTGTGAATGATTTGGGGTCTGTGCTCCCAAATTCCTGGAAGCCCAGTGACTACAATTAGAGAAACACAACCTCAAGGGTGTTTTCCAATATGGATCTTACATTTGCTTTTATGTTTACATTTTTAGAAATGCTGTAGCTGTGACTGTTCCCAAAAACTAATGCCATGTGAATTTGCCTCTAGTTTTATGAATGATTTCAGATGTGAGAACTTCTCCAGAAAACCTGCTTTCTCTATCTGGGTGAGGAAAAGAGAGAAAATACAAGAATTTCTCTTGTGTAGTACTGACTTCCTCTGTGGCCCCAGAGAAGCCATTTGAACTTTCTTCTTTAGTTCCTCCAGCTGTAAAATGGAACTAATAATGACTAATAATGTATTTCGCAAGGTAACAGTGAGGATTAAAGTAGTCAGTGTTTCAAGGTGGTAGGCCCCAAGTATGAAATATTTGTATAATGTCAAACTCTGACCAATGTTTTTCTATTAGATTGGGTTTTTAAATCCCCTAACTTTATTTAAACACCCAAGTCAATTGACTTGCAAGCAAGATGCCATATTTCTACGTTAATAATTCCATTTTTCTGACAGAGAAGTTTCTGGGAAACAATAGCATTTGGCATTAAGATAAACAATGTAAATTCTTATCCCAGCTATACTGCAACTGTAGGCAGGCCGCACAATTTATTTGCTTCTCTTTTTCCTTTCAGGTCTGAAAGCAAAGTATCTGTGCCCGACTCTTACAGGATTGTGAAAAGTAAAGAGGTTAACATATGGCGAATGCTTTAAACTCTGTGGTGAAGATGCCAGAGAGTAATATTCTACAGATGGGAAAACTGAGTCCCAGAGAAGCTCACAGGCTTGACTTAAATCATGTGGCAAGTGAGTATCAGGAAAAACACTCAATACTCTGGATTATAACCAGTTATTTTTGCCTTATGGCTTCCTAAAGAAACAATACCTATAGAGGCAAAGTTTTCCCTTCCTACTTTCACAAGAGTCGGCTTTCTTTCACCTGTTGAGATAGCTTTTGCTTCCTTCTAAATCTGGAGCACTTTTTTTTTTTCTCTTCTTGAGTTTTCTCTCAGCAAAGAAGAGGAGGTGACTAGAACTTGTTGCCAAGGAAAAGAGCCTGATTAGAGTGTCCAATTGAAGACTTCTTATTGGCTGCCAAGAACACTGTTATATGGCTTGTAGAAATAAATCAAAGTCTCGAGAGGAGGCCAGAAAGTCAAAGAAATGCTGTTAAATCTTGAGTCCTGTATGATGCTGAAGAAATAAAGGAAAAATATAGGGTGTAAATTGAGTTGTAATTCCAACCAAGTCAAGGCAGTCAGTTGTGATGGCGAAACAACAGATGCATGAAGGCTTTAAAGGACAAAAAATGTTACAGACTCTGGCTGCTACCCAAACACCCTTGCCGCTGAAATCAAAGAGTCCAGTATTCTTGCAGAGACAAAGTCTTAAAGACAAAGCAGCAGACTCTCCTGGCTAAAAGGGTTTGCAATGGATATATTGCCAGTAATCTTAAACCCACTCAGCAGAGACCGAATAGGCTTGGGAAGCAAACAGGTTTTGTAGAATGACGATTTTTGTATAATGCCTAACAGATTCTCGGCACTCAGTGACCTCCTTATTATTCCTTCGAGTATTAGTTATGTAGCACAACAATATATGAACACAGGACTCCCTGGGTGGGGAAGAAAAGAAACTGGCATGATTTCTTCAAGTTTTCCCTGCTGGTTCCACCTCTGGGGGTCTGGGCTGAAAGGACAGGGAAAGGCAAAAAATAATACCTGACATCTTTTTAGTGCTTACTAGACCCCAGGCCCTGTGCTAAATTTATATGTATTGATCTCTTTTTTATTGTTTTGTTTTGTTCTGAGACAGTGTTTCGCTCTGCCGCCCAGACTGGAGTGCAGTGGCATGATCTCGGCTTACTGCAACCTCCGCCTCCTGGATTCACGTGATTCTTGTGCCTCAGCCTCCCGAGTAGCTGGGATTATAGGTGTCAGCCACCACGCCCGGCCTATATGCATTATCTCATTTAACCAACATAATAATTCCATGAGGCTTATAAGCTATATATTTTAAGATGAGAAAATGGGCTTAGATAACTCTAAAGATAGTGCAGTCACTAAGAGCTTGTGCTCTGTGGCCAGACTTGGTGGGTTTGAATCCCAGGTCCTCCAATTCTGAGCTGTGTGACATTGTGCAAGTGACTTAATTGCTGTCTCATGTATAAAATGGTGTAAAAATAAGTACTTATCATCATTGTGATAATTAACTAAATTAATAGACTCAAAGACTTGAGAAGACTACCCAGCACACAGTAAGTACTTGATAAATTACTCAATGAATACCAATCAAGATTATAAACACAATTAAAAATAGTGTAGTGGCAGACCTGGGCCTAGAACTCAGGTCTCTCTGAAGCCAGCGACTTTTCCCTCACCCTTTCACTCTACTGCCTATAGAAGGAAAAAAGAGAGAATGTGGCCAGGAAAGGCAGAAGCAATGTTCTGAAGCAATTTCTAGCTGCTCAGCAATAGGAGAGCACCAGAAAGGGAATTTCTTCCACACTCTACCCCTGGCCCATTCTCACCCTCACTGCTTGTATTTATTTTATTTTTATTATTTCCAATTGCCATCACTGAGAGCCAAAAATAAGAGTAACACAACAGTACAGCCTTACTTTTGTGCCGTCTTGTTAATGCTGTCTGTTAGCGGTGTATCCTCCCTACCGATTCTCGCCTGTCCTTTGCATCCAGTGCTTCTTTTGCCAAAAAGAGGAAAGAAAGATGGTTTTCCTGATGTTTCTCATGAGCAAATAGCTTCAGGGGGAAATATCATCAATTCTATTCAGGGTTTTAAAGGCATGGGCATTTAGATGTTGAAAGAGCACTGTCTAATGCAATTTTCTTGACATAACCCTTTGGACTTGGCTTCAGTTTTGATGAAACACACAAGAAAGCTCTCATCAGTGGCTTGGACAGACAGCAGTTCCCTCATAGCCCTGCCGAATTGTCTGCACAGGGAGTGGACGATGAATCACATCCTCTTATGCTTGCAGCTACCAGCGGTACTCTGGGGGCAGCAAAGTCCAAGGCTGTCTGTAAGACTCCAAGTAAGTTGGAAGTCCCACATCTGTTATGGAGGGAGTTGTGAAACTCACACTACCAGTTTAGAGGACTAAGGCAGTTATTAAGATTTTTATTTTAATAATGATTTAATTTTTTTAAACTCAGGACCATAAGAAAATGTTCACATGAATGTATTTAGAAGGTTTTCCAGTTTTAATGCAGGAAATTCAATGGATTCAGTCCTGCTGTCAGGCTTCAGCTGAGATCACATCCTCTTTGATTCTTCAGTATGGGCTGAGAAACACCCTTATGGGAGTCTGACTGTTAAAATGATACAGGCAGGAGCCTGTTGTTGGAGCAGTTGTTGGAATGTCTTTCCTGGGGCCAGAAGCATCTTGTTCTGCTGCAGATGGTCACCACTTTGCCTCAGCCCCCACAGGCTAAAGACCCAGTAAAGACCTCCTACCTGTTGGGTAGGAAACCTGGACTTACAGGTCTGAGTTGCCGAAGGAACACCAATTTGGACACGCTGTGATTATTTCTATATTACAGCCCAGCCTCCAGAACGGGTGGGTAATGCTTTAATTTTCTGGAAGAGGATACATTTAAAAAGTGAGCTCCTCAACGACCTTCTTAGTTCAGCCAATGGTCGGTTGTACTATCTAGTCTTCTTTGTGCTTTTTGCAAAAGTATATATTGACTGGATATAAATTAATATGTGTTAATGACACATGAGATAGAAATTTTTTAGGCAGATAGTGAGAGTAAGAGAGTCCTTGGCAAGGCTTCCCTTTTAACACAAAGCAACCCCCAAATCATTTCTTTTCTAAAAAAGAGCAGCCTGAAAAATTGAGCTGCGGACACAGATAAGTAAGCTGGAAGCTTGCACAGGTAAATGCCAGCAGCTGTGCCAACAGAATAGGGCTACCTGCAAGCCAGGTATGTTCAACATGGAGGCTTCATCTTCCCTTTTCTTTGTCACCACCTGTGCAGTAAAGAACCAGGCAACATGGCACTGACCAGGTAGATAACCCATCTGCATAATAAAAGATTAAGGTGGGGCGGCCCACTTCTTTGTGCACTATGCAAATGGCGCACCTGGTCTGACCAATCTTTCGTGCCCTATGTAAATCAGACACGGCCTCCTCAAGCTCATGGATAAAACCTTCTGCATTTCACTACGGAAGTGGCAGCCAGTTTTTCCGGGACCTCTCTTTCTGCAGGAGAGAGAGCTCTTCTCTTTCTTTTGCGTATTAAGCTTCCACTCTGAACCTCGCTCTTTGTGTGTACGCATCCTAGTTTTCTGTGGCCATCAGACAATGAATCTTGAGTATTTACCCCATACAAATGACCCTGCTGCATTAATATTGGAGCAAACTGACCCCACATTTTATGCATGGAGTCCAGGAACTTAGCCTTCACTGGCAGACCACAGAGAACACTGACAGAATCTGCAGCACAGTGTCCAGGGATATTTAGACTCCATTACCCACCTGCCCCCAACATGGCCAGTGTTTACTGGAACAAACTCGGGAGCTACTCAATGTTTTTACTTCAGAAACTTTGTTGGAAGTGTTTCAATGGCTCGAGGTTGGCTGCACTATTTCCTCAGACCTTGAACAGACTTGTTATCCACAAATTCAGCATGTTCTACCCAACATCTAGAATCATTTAGTCCAAACTCCTGCCCAGTGGGGAAATCTCTTCCACAATAATTCTGATACTGAATATGCCCCAGGGCAGCACTCACTATGCACAGAGTTTGAGAGGATAAATACTCTTTACACTGGGTCAAAGCTTCTTAAGTGAAAAATGATAAAAATGTGAGGTTGATTCATTGATCCACTGTTAATTCCAGGCTACTATCCAATTTGCTATTATGTTTGATCTGGCTTGATTTTCTGCTGTCTTTGTAAACGCCTCTTTAGAGCTGGGAGTATGTGCGGAATGATATTTATGTTAATTTTCATACTTCGTAGTAAGCTCAATCAAAGAGTTGTTTGTGTTTTGCTTGAGAGAAGTTGAAACTAACAACCTAAATGAAACAATGGAGTCATCTATGCATTTTTCTTATACACGCTGTTGTCACTGCCAACCTTGCTGGTGGGAAAAATTTATGACTGGAGGCTACTAAGGTTTCCTAATCAGCAAGCCACTTCTTCGAGTACCTTTTTCTCCTATAAGTGTGAAAAAGTCACTTCACATGCTGTTGGAAAAATGTCTATTTGTCCCATAGAGAAGTTTGCCAAAACCTATTACTTGTTGAATAATCAAGACTTGTCTAAGGTAAAATTGCTTTCCAAAACATTTGGTCTCAATCAGAGACACACTTGTGCTCATTTGCTTAAAACTGGGTGCAAGTTTCCAGGAGATTTGAATGGAGGCTTCTGTGTTATCATCCAAACTATCATTGGCTTATCATGTCCCTAGATCTTTTAAGTACTCATCTTTGATTTAGACATTGGCAATTCTCACTCTAAAAAGAAAATGTTTTAAAACTGTTTTTTCTATCAATAGGTGATATACCATGTAGTCCATTTCCCCGTGAAAACAATGCTGCTAGTCAGAGTTTCTCTTTGTTCCAGGTTTTTCACGTTAATGTGGTCTGTGTAGTAAAATTGTTACTAGTGAAGGGGGTGCCAGATTTGTGGCACGGCCCATAACACACGTACATTACTGAGACCACACACAGATCAAAAAGATAAAGGCACGCATTGCTTTTGAGCAATGACCCGTGTGCCAAAAATGAGGTTTCACCTACAAGAGACCAGAAGAATGTAAGGGTTTTAGTCTCAGGGAATCAAGAGTTTCCTTATTTGTTCTAGTCTATGTTTTAAAAGGATGATAGGACATTATTTAGCCCCTTTGATTGTTCTTGTTTCACTATTTGCAACTGAAAAAGAAAAAGAAAAGCCTTCTTCCTCCCTCCGGTAGCCACTATAAGAAGTGCAGCGACACAGTGAAGGGCTCGGAACTTTGGCTCGGGAGCCATACTGCCTGGACTCACTTCTGCACTCCTCACTGTGTAACTTAGAGTCTCAGTTTTCTGTAAAACAGGAACAATAACTGCACCTACTTCCTGAGGTGGTTGTGAGAATTAACTGAGATAATACAGGTGCTCAGCACAGTACATGGACCCTAGCAGGGTTTCAATTGCTATTGTTACAGTAAAATATTACTCTAATAGCATCAATATGCTCCGTAAATTAAATTGCATAAAATGTGGCATCAATTTGCCCCAACATTAATAAATGTTAATATATTCTTAGTCAATCTGTACTGTTGCAAAAAGCACAAAGAAGATTAGATAGTACAACTGACCACTCGCTCTATGAGGAGGTCACCTCTTGAAGATATCCTGTTCTGGAAAGTCAGAAGGTCACCCACCCATTCTCCAGCTCTTTACAGGGGTTGGGCTAGAGTGTAGGTACAATCACTGTGTGTGCAAATTGACTTAATTAGGGAGAGGAGGCATTATTCAAGGTGTTACTTGTTATTATTAAGGTTGTTGTCTCAAACCTGCTTTTAACCTTTCTAATCAGCGACTGTTAACCCTGGATGCACATTTTAATTACCCAAGGAGCTTAAAAGACATAGTGATATCTGGCCCGAGATAGGAGCAGCAAAATATAATTACTCAGACTTGAGTTCAGATCCTGTTTCCCTCATTTTTTAGCCATGTGACCTTCGACCAACTATTAACCTCTCTGTTGCCGAATCTATGAGATGGGTGGAGCGAGTTGGGGGGGTTCGTTGTAGGGACTAAACCATGTATTTAAAGCTCTGGGGCCACGTCTTTGCATGTAGCAGGTATCCAGTAAATACTTGTTATTAGAAACCTATTTTCTCTGAAGACCCCAGCCGAAAGGGTCCCCTACCTCCAATGAACTCAGTTATGAAAATTTTACCTTGAAATATAGTTTTGGGCAAAAACTAACGAAGGTTTCTTATTTCACAAATGACAAAACTAAAGCACAAAAAAGTTATTCAAAGTTATATGGCTAATAATAAACTAGAACCTGAACCCAGGTCTCCTAATTCTTTGTCTATTGTTTTTCTTCCTATTCCATAGTTCTTAATCACATATCCCTGGAAGCCTCAAATTCTAGCCCTGGATGCCAGCGTCAGCCTCGTATTTTTCCAGTCCCTTCCAGCCTTAGCTTTATGGTGCAGCAACACCAAATTGTTGTTTTCTGATACTCATAATTACTGTTTCTCACCTGTTTGCCTTGGCTTGTGTGATCATCCCTGCCCTGCCTGAAATGCTCTCCTTGCCTTTGTTTTCTAGCAACTACAATCACTTCTGCTGCTGAACATCAATGATTAACTGCTACAGCAAATGTTTTTCCATTGTAAACAGTTAGAAATGAGACAAAATGTCAGACATCAGACAACAGTATTTTAATCCCTGTGAGTAGGAAAATAAATGGGATGAGCCCTGTAATTGCCACAGCTTATCCCCGGAGGCAGTTTCCAGGATTACTACCCATGGTGGAATAACCAAAACAGCCCAGCGGTCTTGCTAAGTTGAAGAGACAGAGTTTAAAGTCTGAGGAGACTGAGGAGGCTAGAATTTGCAGGGTAGATTACCAGAAAGGGGAAACCAGATAGAAAGGAAGCTCTGGAGATCTGCAGAGCACTTACCCCATATCTTTGGATGAGTTTTATTGATCTGCACCTGCACGTGAAGCACTATGAAGACTGCGGGAAAGAACTCCCTGAAAGCACAGGCTGAACAATATTTAGAGCTTACAGAGGACTGGGAACACTTCATGTTTCTACCAGCTTGAGCAAAGAAACCCCTAAATACATAGGGTGTTGGCTGAAGTCCTCAGAAGTGCCATGCTTTAGTAGTGGAGTAAATTAGTCCTATAATAAAAGCTGCTCTGGAACCACCATACGAAATGTAAAAATGAGCCTTTCATGAATCAAACTGATCTGCCACAAAATCCAATGTTCTTTAAAGGAAGAGAATACAATCCAGCACCCAACAAAATAAAATTAACAATATCTGTAATTCAAATAGTAATTTTTAGATATACCAGAAAGTGTAAAAATGTGATTTATAACAAGAGAGAAATTAATCAGTAGAAATAGATCAAGAAATGACAGAGATGGCCAGGCACGGTGGCTCACGCCTGTAATCCCAGCACTTTGGGAAGCCGAGGTGGGCAGATCACGAGGTCGGGAGATCGAGACCATCCTGGCTAACACGGTGAAACCCCGTCTCTACTAAAAGTACAAAAAAAAGCCGGGCGTGGCAGCGGGTGCCTGTAGTCTCAGCTACTCGGGAGGCTGAGGCAGGAGAATGGCGGGAACCGGGGAGGCGGAGCTTGCAGTGAGCCGAGATCACGCCACGGCACTCCAGCCTGGGCGACAGAGCAAGACTCCGTCTCAAAAAAAAAAAAAAAAGAAAAAAAGAAATGACAGAGATAATGGAATTAATAGGCAAGGACCTTAACAAAGTTTATCCTATGCTTACGGATGTAAAAGAGAACATAAACACGACGAATAGGGAATAAAAGACATTAAAAAGACCCAAATGAAACTTACAGAGATGGGAATGTGAAATAAAAAATAATCTGGATAGGATTACCAGCACCTTATGTGATGCAGAAGAAAAAGTCACTGTACCTGAAGACATAGCAATAGTAACTATCCAAAATGAAACACAGGTTAGAGAAAAAAAAAAGTCCAGGCTTACGCCTGTAATCCCAGCACTTTGGGAGGCTGAGGAGGGTGGATCACTTGAGGTCAGGAGTTCAAGACTAACCTGGTCAACATGGTGAAACCCCATCTGTACTAAAAATACAAAAAATTTTCAGGCATGGTGGTTGGTATCTGTAATTTCAGCTATTTGGGAGGCTGAGGCAGGAGAATTGCTTAAATATGGGAGGTGGAGGTTGTAGTGAGCCAAGATTGTGCCACTGCACTCCAGCCTGGGTGACAGAGTGAGACTCCATTTCAAAAACAAAAACAAAACAAACACACACATACAGAGAGCCCCAGTGAACTCTGGGATCTTATTAAGCCATGCAACGTAAGTGCAATTGGAGTCTTACAAATGTGATACGGGGGAAACAGAAACACTATTTAAAGAAATAGTGGCTGAAAATTATACAAATTTTATAAAAAATGTAAACTCATAGATTCAAAAGACTCAACAAACTCCAAACAGCAGTAATATAAAGAAAATCACACTAAGGCACATCATAGTTAAATTTCTGAAATTTATGCCAAAAAGAAAATCTAAATCACAGCAGGGAGAAAAAGATACATTGTGTACAGAGATATAAACTTGAGGGTGATAGCAGACTTCTCGTCATAAACCATGCAGGCCTAAAGACAATGGAAGGTCATCTTTTAAGTGCTGGAGAAAAACAAACAAAAATCTGCCAGCCTGGAATTCTATACCTACTGAAAATATTTTTTTAAAGATAAAGGCAAAATAAAATTTTTTTTCAGGTCAGTAAAAGGCATGTGATCTTTACTATAAGAAATGTTAAATGTTGTTCTTTTAGCAGAAAGAAAATGATACTAGATGGGAATTTGGACCTGCAGAGAGAGATAAAGAGCACTTAAATAGTAAGTATGGAGTAAATATTTTAAAAATGGGGTTTCCCCTCATTTTTCATCTCTTTTGCATCTATTCATCCTTCTAGGAAGAAATCCTGTGCTTCTTTACCACCTCTCCTTAGGTTAGGAGTGACAAACTCAACTCTCTACACAGGCTTAGATTGATAAGGTAAATAAGTCTGTGTATGCTTATAAGAAATAGTGGGAACAGTAGTAAACTGTAGAGTACATGTCTCATTTAAAAGGAGTATCCATTACTCAACTTCAGTTTCTAGTTGCTGGGAGGGAATTGAGCCAAACTCTTCCTTTATTTAAATGTAGCAATTAATTTAAATCAACCAAAACCCAAAACTCCATGGACTATAGTCAGCTGTTGGGCCACCAGGATGCAATTACTATTTTAGGTATTCTTCACTTGTGCCCTCATAATCTCAGATAACTGGAGAAAGGTTTAAGAATTAAGCACTTTGACCAAAATTTTGGTGGAGTACTCTTTGTTTGCATCAAAAATAATTTGGTTTACTTTGTTTAATTCAGTTAAGTTTATGCTATCCCTAATGTAAAAAAGTTCTGTGAGAGTCACATGTGGGTTAAAGCAATGTGGTACTGTGGTAGCTATAGTCTTACTTCAATGCCTTTATTTTTGTAATAGATGAAGAAACCACAAAGCACGTTCTGCAGCTTCCCTAGGAAGTACCTCTCTTAACGTAATTTCACAGCGATGCATCTGTCACTGGGAAACTTTCTGTCTGAACATGAATGATAAAGGTATAGGTAGGGATCTTTCTTGCTTGCTTGCTTTCTTGCTTGCTTTCTCTCTCTCTCTCCCTCCCTCCCTCCCTCCCTCCCTCCCTCCCTCTCTCTCTCTCTCTCTCTCTCTCTCTCTCTTTCTTTCTTTCTTTCTTTCTTTCTTTCTTTCTTTCTTTCTTTCTTTCTTTCTTTCTTTCTTTCTTTTTACTGTCCAGAAGTCTTTTATTTTTTAAAACACCTATTATGCCATGAATTCGTAGGGAATAGTTTCCAGCAGCTCAGCTTCCTTCCCATTGGTTCTCACAAAGTGTGTTTCTCTGGGTGGAGCAGGCTGGCGCTTCAGTTGAACCCAAGTACCTTTCTCTTTGGTTTCTTTCTTATTCTGATCATTTTCCTTTACATGTTTCAACTATCTCAGCTTTTAGAGTGCTTAATATGCTTAATATGCACATTAATTCTCTTGGCAAGAATCTTGCCCTTAACTTGTTTGTTTACAACAATGCCAACAGCATGCTGGGGAACACTGTAGACTCTTCCAGTTTTGCCATGGTAACACTTGTGGGCATTCCTTTTTGGACAGCGCCCATTCCCTTATGTCTACAACATCACCTTTCTTATAGATTCGCATATACGTGGCCAAAGGAACAATTCCATGTTTTCTAAAAGGCCTAGAGAACATATATTTGGTGCCCTCCTCTTTCCCTTTGTATTCATCATTTTGGTGAATTACTGGAAGATGGTGGTTCTGGCCGAAAGGGGGATCTTTCTTTTTATTCCTTCCTAGGATTGCTTTTCTTCCCACTTCCTCCACCTGCTCCTATCCTTCCACCCTGGACTTCACTTCATTCTGCGCACCTCGTCTCACCATTAAAAAATCAAATCGACAAATTAATGTTTTGGAAGCTGCCCCAATGCTCAAATGAGTAAAAATGAAATATTGATGGTGATCAACATATTGAATCTCTATTATATCCCAGGTAAATGACATCATGTCACTTAATGCTCACAATAATCTGATACAAGAATACTTAAAACGCTCTCCATTTCACAGGTTAAAAAAAGCAAAGCTCAAGATTTCGCAGCTCATAGGTTCTGAAATCGGACTTTGTGTTCTTACTTTCTGCATCCTTGCTCCTCAAGGATTGTCAACTGAAAGTTTACTAGAAAGGTAGTGTCTCAGGCCTCACCCCAGACAACTGAGTCAGAACCTACATTTTAGCAAGATCTCCAGGTTATTCATAGGCACATTCAAGTTTGAGAAGTCCTGTTCTACACTGCACCACCTCCTTCTGGGTGTGCCTCCTGATAGTGCCCATCCACCACTTGCCTGGAAGCCCCCACACACTTCCCAGTGTGCCCAACTTTCTCTCAAGAGTGATTTATGCAGCAAGCCTTTGCTGGTGGAATTCCATTGTGTTGACTTAAACACTCACCCCGAGATCCCTCCCTTCTTCCTACTCTCAATCCATCATCATGTCTCATTTTCTATTTTTGGACACAGCTCAGGGACATGAAGAGGGAGGGCTGGGCTTGTGGCACTGGAGGGTTGCCTGACCAATAATTTCTCCTAGTGGCTTCTTCTGGCCCTGCGTGGGCCAGAGAACAGTGCTATGGGTGGGAAAGCAGGAGAAGCTTCACAGGAATCACCCATCAAGCAAAACCTTTGGCAGACCTGAAGCCATGGAAGTTGTTATGGGTACAGATGTCCACGGATGCTGGCAACTTTATTAAAGCTTATTTTCACATTGATATCACTCGCAAGCAAAAGTCTGACCACTACATGCACTTTCTATTGAGTCCAAAAGACTGTGGAGCTGAGCTATTATAAAAATTGGTTCTCAAAATACTGTATGAAGTCAAAGTTGTTGGATGGTCAATGAAAAATAGTTTTTTCAGTTAAAATAGCTCATACACATTGACTTTGAAATGGCAGAGGTGACAACTGCTGGTCTTTTTTTTTTTTTTTTTTTTTTTTTTTTTTTGAGACGGAGTCTCGCTCTGTCGCCCAGGCTGGAGTGCAGTGGCGCGATCTCGGCTCACTGCAAGCTCCGCCTCCCGGGTTCACGCCATTCTCCTGCCTCAGCCTCCCGAGTAGCTGGGACTACAGGCGCCCACAACCGCGCCCGGCTAATGTTTTGTATTTTTAGTAGAGACGGGGTTTCACCGTGGTCTCGATCTCCTGACCTTGTGATCCGCCCGCCTCGGCCTCCCAAAGCGCTGGGATTACAGGCGTGAGCCACCGCGCCCGGCCAACTGCTGGTCTTATGATGTCATTCCAAGGCCCATGATGATAGACTATTTATTTATTTTTTTATTCTTTTCAAGAGGTAGGATGTCTCCAAGCTTTCTCCTTGCCATTTCTCTCTCGGAAACCTTTTGTATTTGTCACCCGACTTCGGTGGGGGTCTGAGTTAAGCAGAAAAGACTGCTGTAGAGAGATGAGAGGAATTCTTTTCTCCTGAGACATGGCCAGTTGGTGTAGAATGCTGGTGCAGAGGCCAAGTTTTCTGCCAACAGAATACAGCGTGGAACTGTAACATACTCTTTAATGTTGTTGTAACTTTATTTTCCACTTTAAAGTAATAGAAATTCTTCCTAGAAATAATGCTGTTTAGTAGAGACAGCATGGCATAGCTGACTAAAGCCATATCTTTGAGCATTTGCCAACCTTTGTAGTAAAGGGACATTTTTCATAAGGCTCCTGCATTCACAAGATCAGGAAATGATGGAAATATCTTTATCACAGAATCAAAATGCTCAAAGGGGGCGCTGTAAGATCATTTTATATATTTTATTCTTCAAAGATAGGCAGACATCCTAATTTTTTACAGAGATGAGAGCCAGTGAGGTATAATGAAAAGAATAAGGCTTTAGGCTGATGCCAATCTTGAAATGCATCTTAATTCTATTATTTATCAACAAGAGTTTGGGGAAATTGTTCAACTTTTCTGATTTTTAATATTCTTATATTTAAAAATAAGAAAATAGACACTTTTGTCTTTCGATCCTGAAAACATGCCTGCAAGTTGATTGTAGGATAGTGAAACAATGGATTTAATATAAAAGGGGCAAGGGATCCTGTTTGGATATAAGTTTTGCTTTTTAGACACAATAGTTCAATGATTAGAATTCTAGCATCTCACACACATTCTCTAATTCTATTTTTCTTTGCAACCGAATGTGTAGTCAACATGCTTAAGTGAGCCCCTGGCTGAGGTTAGAGACATCACTTTTAACATGTCTAATAATTATTATTCTTTTCTGTATTATATTAAGTCCATGATACTCCTGTTACTAGTATTTAAACCTTTATTATTCTCTTTTTCACCATTTTTAATAGAAACATTATGACAAATTACAGTAAAATATTCAAATAATTACATAAATATTAATCTTTGTTTGGATCATTGAATTCACAGAAGTTATTTCTTAGGGGTAATTATTTTCAATTACTGCTGTTACAAACAAATTCCAAACCTCACTGATTTAGTTTAAATTTTTTGTCATAAAAAGTCCAGTCCAGTGGACTTTGGGAGGCTGAGGCAGGAGGATAACTTGAGCCCAGGAGTTCAAGGCCAGCCTGGACAACATAGCAAGACCCTGTCTCTACAAAAAATTAAAACATTTCCCAGGCATGGTGGCACACACCTGTAGTCCCTGCTACTTGAGGCTGAGGTGGTAGGATCGCCTGAGGCCAGGAGGTGGAGGCTGCAGTGAACCATGACCATGCCACTGTACTCCAGCCTGGGCAGCAGAGGAAGACTCTATCTCAAAAAAAATCAATCAATCTATCTATCTATCTGTCTGTCTGTCTGTCTATCTATCTATCTATCTATCTATCTATCTATCTATCTATCTATCTATTTATCTATCTGTCTATCTATCTATCTATCTATGAGAGAGAGAGAGTCCACTGGAGCTGATCTTGCTTGGGCAGCTCTTCTTAAATTGCCAGACTCAGGTGTCCTGGCATCTCTCTTCAGAGACTCTGTTATCCATCAGGGTCTCCCCTGGACGCCTGTGCTGGGTCTGCTTTATTCAGCAGCTGATGAGCAAAGAGAGGGATTCTCACATCATCTCCTCCTCCTCCTCCGCCTCCTCTGTCTCTTTCTCCTCCTCCTCCTCCTCCTCCTCCTCCTCCTCCTCCTCCTCCTCCTCCTCCTTCTTCTTCTTCTTCTTCTTCTTCTTCTTCTTCTTCTTCTTCTTCTTCTTCTTCTTCTTCTTCTTCTTCTTCTTCTTCTTCTTCTTCCTCCTCCTCTTCTTCTTCTTCTTCCTCCGACAGGGTCTGGCTCTGTCACCCAGGTTAGAGTGCAATGGCAAAATCAGGACTCACTGTAGCCTCCACCTCCTGTACTCAAACAATCCTCCCACCTCAGCCTCCCCAGTAGCTGGGACTACAGGTGCATGCCACCATGCCTGGCTAATTTTTGCGTTTTTTTGTAAAGATGGCGTTTTGCCAGATTGTCCAGGCTGGTCTTGAACTCCTGGGCTCAAGGGATCCGCTCACCTCAGTCTCCCAAAGTGCTGGGATTACAGGTGTGAACCACCATGCCAGCCTCTTATGGGCCTTTTTAAGGACCAGGGCTAGAAGTACACACTTGACACTTGCTTACACTTCATTGGCCATCAGTTGTCACAATATGCCATCTAGATGGAAAAAGATTGGGATATGTAGTTTTTCCAAGTGCCCAGGAAAGAAACTAAATGGTTTGGTGAATCCACAGCATTGTCTGCCTGGCAACAGGGCTGTCAAACTGAATTATTAGCCAGCAAGCAGCCACCAGGGCCCTCAAAAAGTTTATTCATCAAAACTGATGTATAAAAGGGTGATTTTAGTACGTAGTAAGTGTGTATAGCTGTCCACACATGATATATGGAAATTGAATGCATGACAATTGGAGACTATCTCTACATCTTATTGTGTGCTGAGTTAATGCCTATTGCAGAGTTGCTGCAAAGAGTCCGTAAGATATTTATGTGAAAATGCCTAGCACAGAGTTACTATTAACATGTTGTTGTTCCCTGAGCTTTTTTTAAAAAACAAGATTCTTGGCTGGGCTTTGGGAGGCCGAGGCAGGAGGATCACTTGAGCCCAGAAGCTCAAGGCTGCCGTGAGCTAAGAGTGCACAATTGTACTCTAGCATAGGTGACAGAGAAAGACTTTGTCAAAAAAAAAAAAAAAAAAAAAAAACCCAAAAAGGATTCTTCCACAGTCTCCTTTAATAAACTCGTCTAGTGATGAATGGGTTCCAGCTAGAGTCTGCAGCTTCTTATACATTGCCAAAATTGATTTCTCTACAGTTTAATCATATTTACTTTGAATGATTCTCATAGAAATAGTTAAACATCTGATCATCACTCTTCTTATACTACTCCATCAATGTCAAAGCCATCTGGCCATCTGTAAGTCTTTTCTTCTTTTGGCTCATTTAAAACTTTTTTGATATGTCTATCAGTTTTCACATACGACTCAATGTACATTAACTGCTATTTTCTTGAAGCTCTTTATGTGTGAAAACTGGGAGATTATAGTAGTCACCTACCTGAGAAACTTGCCATTGACTTTTATTTTCCATTTAAAAATGAATATTTATTTCTCCATTGCTCTCCGTCAGTTAAGAATGTGTTTGTGTGAAAATACCTCAGGAAAACAAAGATGGCTTCACAAAATTCAGAATGTTAATTTATCCCAGTGGGCTACTGTTATTGGAAAGTTATCAGCCATATCATCACAACCAAAGGTTTTAAAAGAAGTAATTTTATATCAAGAACATATGAGTGTTACCTTATCCTTTCCTTTAATCTTGTTTTCATCTTAAAAGCAGAGTTTTCCAAAACCTACTGTCTTCTGGGAATAAATCAGAATTTTCCTGAGCCTTCCTTCCTGATGTGCCCCTAGAATTCAGATCCTCATGAATCAGCAGCCACCTCATAATGTGAATGCTCAAGAACAGAATGAGGAACAACGTTCTCCAGGTCTGGTCTGAATTTGGGAGGGCTGACTTGCCTAATTTTACAGGTGTTGTGCCCAAGAGGAATGGAGGCGGCCGGGTTTCCTTGCTTCTTTACCAATCTACTTATCGGTTTCCTGTTCAACTCCCTTCCTTTGCTTAGTAGGTTTCTAGGTATTCTCATTTATTAATGTTAAAAATACCTTTTCAGATCAATTGCTCATTTACACGTTCAAACTAAGATTTTCATTTCACAGTTTTATCACAGCTGGCATAATGAACCATGTCAAATTTTTAAACTATATTGTGACAACATTTATACTCGTTATGCTTTGCCTGTGGATGTAATTAAGACAGTGTGTTTGGTATCAGTTTATTCTTAAAAAGCAAAGTAAAAGCAGATGAGGTGTATTTATAGACTCATCAGCCAATGAATGGATGAAAGAGAAAAAGAAATTAATGGGGAAATGTCAGCCAGAATGGAGGAGGGAACCACTGAGAAGTTCATTTCCAGACCAACTATTTGGAATTTAGTCCAAAGACAGCTGTCCCTTGATTTACAGTAGAGGAAAAAAATGACATTGTAAGACTATTGGGCCTCAAGTTAAGAAGCAGGCGAAGAGTAACATACTTCAAATAAACTTCTGCAGTTGGGATGGGGGCCCGAGCACAATGCCTACAGTCAGGGCCCTATCTGGAGGTGCATGCCTTCCTACAAAGAGTGGGGCTTAGAAAAATCTGGGAAAGAAGGAAAATCTGTAGGAAACGTAGAAGCTTTGGAACTTGGTCCTGGCCACTTGAAAGCTGTTTTGATTTGAAGCCAAAGCCCCTAGGGGGTGGGGCGCAGGGGGGTAGAGTGAAGGGGGAAGCAAAGAAAAGGACAGAAGACAAAATTGTACTATAAAGCCCCAACCCGGGGAATTCAGTTTCAAGAACCGACAAAGAAGAAAAATGAATTGCAAAGCATAAGGGATACAGATTCATTTCTTTGTGTTTTCTTGAAAGTTTGGGTAATGCATTTCTTTTATTGTAAAATGAAACACAACAGTTGTCAGACATTCTGGGGCATGTGTCTGACATTAGACACAGGTGAGGCAGAATAAATCTGCATTGTCTTGAGTACATGTAAAAGGGCAGCATGAGGGGAGGAAATATGGTTGTTTTGGCATCCTGTTTTTAACCACCCATATTTCAGAGTCTGGGAGAAATGATTTGGGCCCAAGCAAAGTCTTGTGGTCTGCAACACTTCAGCTGGGGTGAGGGAGAAGAAGGGGAAATGGCTTCACTGGTTCTCTTCCCCAAAGCATCTAAAGGAATGTTCATTAATGACTTTTAGAAGAAATTCCTTTGGATTTTCATGGGGGAGCAACCAAGAAGAGTTCTTCAGAAATTCAGATTTAAAAATTCCTTTTCTAGAGAATTAAAATAGATTAATAAAAGGTAGGTTTAATTCAGAAAAATATATATTCTCTGGGAATTCATAAAGGAACGTTTCTTTTGTTTGATATAGATACTTGTCTCTAGATCCTAATGTACCTGCATTTCTGAGCCATAGTTTTGCTTCTCCATATATCCCTAAACTCTTTTTCTCCTTCCTCTGCCTCAGTGAATTTGACCGATGTAGTTTGCTGATGTGTGTGATTGTGGGCTCTTTGTTTAACTCTTTAGAGACAGATAAATAAGATGATATAGGAAAGGAAAAAGAACAAAGGAAGGGAGGAAAGGAAGGAAAAGAGGAAGGGAGGAAAGAAGGGAAGAAAGAAAGGGAGGAGGGAGGGAAGGGAAGCGGAGGAAGGAAGGAAGAAGGAAGGGAGAAGGGAAGGCAGGAAGAAAAAGGATCAAGGCATAACAAATCCATTTGCTTCAATCATGTAATCAAACCATTCCTATTTCTGAACACTCTCCTCAGCTGTGGCACATCTGGAGATACTGAGGAAATGAGTTCACAGAGCTTTGAGCTTTGTTTCTGTTGAGTTGGCTGTTCTGTTATATAGATAAGGTGTGTGTGTTTGTGTGTGTGTGTGTGTGTATGTGTGTAATGTACAGTTAATTCACAAAACAGTTACCGGGCCATCCAGATCACTTTATAGCTTAGACCCAAGCTTCTCAAACTATTTGTGGCAAAGGATCAGTTTTTAAATGTTCAATCAGTCATAAACTGGTGTTTTAATCAAATGTAACAAAAATGTATTTCTAGAAAAATTAAATTTAAAAACACCCCAAATCATACAAAATGCAAGCCTCTCATATTTAATATCAGATTCAAAAGACAGGCCAGTCGCGGTGGCTCCCGCCTGTAATCGCAGCACTTTGAGAGGCCGAGGCAGGTGGATCACCCGAGGTCAGGAGTTCAAGACCAGCCTCACCAATATGGTGAAACCCCATCTCTACTAAAAATACAAAAAGTAGCCAGGCGTGGGGGTGTCCGCTTGTAGTCCCAGCTACTCAGGAGGCTGAGCCAGGAGAATTGCTTGAACCCGGGAGGCCGAGGTTGCAGTGAGCAGAGATCACGCCACCGTACTCTAGCCTGGGTGACAGAGCGAGACTCCGTCTCCTCCCGCTCCGTAAAAACAAGACAAAAAAATTTCACGTCAGATGACTAGAAAAGTTTCTAAGTGCTCACTCTCAGTTTCACTGAACTCATTGCACTGAACTCATTGTGGTACCAATCCGCCCAGGGCCAGCACTGTCCAGGGAACCCCCCTTGCAGAGGACTAGTATAGATGTTCTATAAAGAAAAGGTCTCTAAACAAAAGGAAAGGGATAGCAGTTTATATTTTTTAAGTTCAAAGTTATTAACTTGCTATTGAAGTATAGACAACAAGATAAATTCCAGTAGTTTTCAAATAATTTCTTTTAAAGAAAACATTTAATTGCCTGGACAGCGTTGATTAAAAAAAAAAATTAAGTGTTTGCTTAAGTAAAATAAACTATATACATGGGGTATCTCTGTTATCCTATGGGCCCTATTTGTATTCAAGCACTGGAAGAATGAATTGATTTTAACCCAAATAGTTTTAAGAATGAAACAGTTTCTAAAATGTAAATAAGGCTATCATCTTTCTTTACTCAAATGTAATGAATTAATGTAGACCATTGCCTAATTTAGTGTTGACTGAAGTAGTCGGAATTCACATATTGGGTTGAAATGGCCAGGAATATTGTAGAGCACTGAAAAGACTCTAAGTGAATTGCATGTTTTCATCTTAAACTATAAGACATTTACCAATTCCCACTGATCTCAAGTTGCCCTAACGAACTTTCCACACAGAGGCTAATAGAATTTATGTCTCTAAAAGCAGTAAGTTAAAGAAATGGAAGCTTGAGTCATAAAGAAATTCCCTGGCTATAAATTTATTATTTGTGAGAAAGAATTTATTTTTTCACACACACACAAAAAATGTAGAGCAGAGCTATTGCATATCATCCCCACATGGAACAAGTGGTGAAAGGACTGTTGGGTTATGGAAATCATATTATTGTTATCATATGTTTTCCTTAGCTGCGGCTATCACAGAGAACCTTTTGGGTAGGGTATTATTTACAATGCCCTATTGTTTAACATCTCATGTTAGGATTCTGTTTCAATAGTAGTTTATTACCATCACATATTTTTTTTCTTTCTAGATTTGACTTCAGATAAATGTCACACTGCAGTAAAGATATTTTAAGAATTACTCAGTAATCAAACCATGTGAGTTCAATGGTCTATAAGCTTGGAATCTTAAGAAATTACTGAGTAAGTAAATTCTGGGTAGTGAATATGAAAAGCATTCACATAAGCATGTAATTTAAAAATGGAACTAACATCCATTGAACAGCAATAAACTGACATGAATTGGCTTTATTGTGGCCAACAAGAGGAGCTGGCTATCCGATGGCTGAATTAGAGGCTGGGACAGAATGTGAGATCTGGATAGGGGGCCTTTGTGGGTGGCATGTAGCATCCAGGTGCACAAAGGTTTGGTGTTGGTGTGTGACTTCGGACACCTCGGGATGCTGAAACTTCTTAAAAGTTGACCTATTTATATTGTTTGCCTCCCTACGGGACCCTTCCAGTGTCCCTAGATGATAGGAACCATCCAGTTTTGTCAAAACACATACATAAATCTAAAGGGTTCTGTGTTCTGTTAGAGGCAGTTTTGTGGAGAAGACAATCATTCTCTCTGTCTCTCAGTTGGATCCGTTTTGGACCCCAGGGGGTGATTTGCCATCTTTTGGCACATTCTGGGTCTCTGTACACTGTTTCTGCTCCCATTCTTGCACTTGTTAATATACAGCCCCCAGCTGGTTGCTCTCTAAGTGCCACTCACAATCCATATTTCCACAGTGATGACATTGGCTGCCTCAGTTTTAGGAGCTGCTGGAAATAGCCACTAATCAAGAGAAAGAGAGAAGGACTAGCCCTGAATAATTGGTCAACGATGCTGATTTTGTTGGTTTCCTGTTTCTTTTGCTTCCTGGAAAATACAGAGCAAATATTGCATGTGGGTTGATGCTACAGCATCGTCTGAACTTGGAAGGATGATCATGCATTCTGATGCCTTGTGGTCTCACTACAGGTCCAATTTTCATGTGTTTTAGGAGTCTTGGGATTAGGTTATGTACTCTGACTCTGGGCAAATGGAAACACCAGGTGAGAATTGTTTATCTCATAACATTTCTTACAAGGTATTAACTTTTGGACCATTTTGGAGAAGATGAGCAAATTCATTTTTCAAGGCCAGCAGGGGTGGTTGCTATGAGCAGGCCTTTGTCAGCACATGAGACCTGACCTTGCTGACCTGGGAAGTTTCTATATATGATGAAAATCTTTTTCATAATCAGATGATGATAGCTGGCAGGGTGTCACTAGATTATGTATATGATGGTTTATGTTAACAATGACTATTTTGTTAAAAAGTATTTGTCGAACTTCTACTTTGTGAGAGGTCTTCTTCCAGGTATTGGGCAGTAGTACCTCTTCATTGCACTTTGAACTCTTTCTTTATTATTTTATTTCCTTCACATTTGTAAGTCCAGTTGGAGTAAAATCTTTTCTTAACTCAAGTTTTTCTTTTGAATTGAGAAATAATAATTGTATATATTTATGGGGTACAATGTGATGTTTTGATATATAAATACATTGTAGCATGATTAGATCAAGCAAATTAACATTTTAT